CTGTGCCCATTAAGACATTATACCCTCCATAACTTAATGATAGAAAACGTCTCTACTGTGCCCATTAAGACATTATACCCTCCATAACTTAATGATAGAAAACGTCTCTACTGTGCCCATTAAGACATTATACCCTCCATAACTTAATGATAGAAAATGTCTCTACTGTGCCCATTACAGCATCCGTGTCATACAAAAGTCTTAGAAACTCCCGAAGTCAGAACGGTGGAAATATATGGAAATTTACAAAACTACGAAAAACTTCAACTGTTTCTCTCGACTTTCCCCTGACCTCAATAGATTATACAGCACCGGGATCGAGAACAAGTCTTCAAAATGTATTTGCACTATGGCCTCAGTTGGAAGTAGACTGAAGAAATGGGTTTTTTTAAACCATGCTACAATGAGAAAGCGACAGCTAAATCATTGATTAATCACAATCCGGAGATAGTGATAAAGGAAAAAGTGACAAAGCAGTCAAACATACTTTATTTCATCAACTAAACAGTGGTATCATTTTAGAAACAGGTACCGAATTTTTTCCCCTGAAATGTGAATGTAAAAAAAGACAGGACTTACTTCCCCTCCTCATCCTTCATGGCGGGCGCGGTACCGGCCTTCCTCATCTCCTCCAGTTCCCTCTCCTTCTTCCACTCCTCCCTCGACTGTTTGCGAGGCTCGTCCCCATCCTCCCCCTGCTCCTGCTTCAGCTTCCTGGCCACAGCAGACGGCGGCATGTTGAGCTGGAACGACATGATCACCTGGCTTCCAGGCGCAACACGCGGGCCACCAAACTTTCACCTGAAACGGCGTGGGAAAAAACAAAAAAAGAATTAGTATTAGCGACCCCATTGAAGAATAAGGGATTAATAAGGACTCTGAAAGGGAGAAATGTCTACGGTACGGCAGGTACATTAAGCAAGAAACATTTTACATATAAACAGGTGAGAGCCATCACATTGTACATGATTACATTTGAGGAAAAGACCTTACAGTACACAGTTATGACACACTCAGTAACTTGTTTTTATGACATCCATCTCACAACTGACTAGCCGCAGCAAACTCCAACAAAAGGAATCATACGATGTGTATACCCAGAATTACAATGGCTAAGGCTAGTTTAAATAAAATGAGCCCAATCCTCAAAAATAGAAACATCTCAATGAACACCAAAATGAAAGTTCTGAAATGCTATGTTTGGTCAACCCTTCTATATGGCTGTGAATGCTGGACAATCACTAAAGACAGTGACAATAAAAACAGAAGCAACAGAAATGTGGTTTCTTAGGAGACTGCTAAGAGTATCGTGGAAGGAAAAGAAATCAAATGAGGTAGTGCTCGATGAAGCCCACGTGGGACGCTCACTGTTAAAAACAATCAGGAAACGACAAAAATGCAGTTTTTGGGACACCTGAATAGACATAAGTGTCTTGAACATCTACCTCTCACTGGCAAAATTGAGGGCAAGAGAGGCAGGGGTGGCCCAGAACAACCTACTTAGGGAACCTAAACAAATGGGTAACAGGGAAAGATCAGGGAAACGTAGCTTTTTCGAGAGCATCCGATCAAAGGAATGAATGGAGAACCATGATCGCCACTGGATGATGATGATGATCATTTCGATACGACGATAGATTTCAATATTGTCAATAGGCCTACATATTAACGAACGGTGTAGCTGATTAGGTAGGCACGACGACTTGCACAGCCCCCCCCCCCCCGTCCTTCCACACACACACCCAACCTTTCCTTTTTGGGGGGTGATTTGCAATTGCCATGACAATGCACATTTGATGTTCACAAGTGTGCTATGAAATCACCGTCTCCCTTTAACCTTGTGGATTTGATGGGGTGGGACGAGATGACAGTGACGTCTTGACTGCACCAGTGTGACGAAAGGAACGTGAGACAAAATAACTGGTATTCAGGGAGGGGGGGCTTTCTACCCCAATTATTTAGTTCGATTTCTTTAAAATAATTGATCAGAACTGCGACAGTGTTTATACTAGATTACTAGATCTACAATCTAGACTAGAATGTAACCTAGACTTTAACTTTAAATAGTAAGTGGTCATGGCATGGAACATGTCATGATGTGGTGTGACCTGCAGACCCCCAAAAATACATACTGTGGTGGTGTTTGACCCCCAAAGCAGCGCAAGTTTACTTCTCTTGGCAACGACTACTTAGATCTAGTTAGACTTAGAATAGTCCGATCCACTTGAAAATTGCATCATCTCTGAAATAAAAATCTAGATCTAGAAAAGAGTGTGCCAACCGACAACCGTGGAAGGAACTTGCGTCCTGTGTTGCACTGACGGAGGAGGGTGACTTAGAAGCCGTGTAGGCCTAGATCTACATAAAAAGCTAGAATCTAGACTCTAGATCTAGTCTACATACAAAGCTAGATCTAGAATCTAGGCCTTCATGCCGCATACCACTTTATTTTCAAGAAGTCAATCACTGGATCAGGTGTCAAACGTCGCACTGTCGTTTACAAACAACACACGATATGATAACAAAACAAGGAAATCTGACTTCCGACACGGAAGCGGAAATAGCAAGCAGTCAACAGTGAGAAATTGTGTAAATAGATGCCTGTCATTCCAGGCAAAGGAGGAAGGCCGTCGTTATTCGGACTCGAGTCCGAATAATATTTTTTCATATTCGGACTCGAGTCCGAATTCCGATATATGAAAAAATGTTATTCGGACTCGGGTCCGGAAAAAAGGAAGTGTCTTCGTTCTATAGATCTAACGTTCAGTGCTTCCAATTTTCCGCCATTTTTTAG